TAAACTAAAATTAGATTTAAATTAACTTGTACGCTATTTTTTACCGTGTTAATTTGTTAATTACTACAATTAATAAAAAAAATCAATTTGTATTTTTTTTATTAAAAAAAAATTAAAATGTTCATTGTAGACGAAAAACTAATTGGTGATAAAAAAGGTCCATCAAAGAAATATTTTTATATCGTTTGAGTATTCGTCTTTAGTGACTTTCAGTAACGTGTGTGGCCTCCATGAGCCCTAATCACGGCTTGACAACGACGCGGCATGCTTCGTATGATCCTCCGAATATCTTCTTGTGGAATTCGCTCCCATTCTTCAATCAACGCTTCAGTGAGCTGCTGCAGTGTTTGAGGTGCAATCGGACGCTTCCGGATGCGCCTGTCAAGCAAGTCCCAAATGTGTTCAATTGGATTTAGGTCAGGGCTCATGGAAGGCCACTCCATTACACGGATTTCCTGCTGTCGTAAGTAATCTGACGTGATGGCTGCAGTATGCGGCCTGGCATTATCTTGCATTAAAAGAAAAATCTTGTTCCGCTAATTGTTTTGAGCAGTATAGAAATAAAGCTTTAATAAATTTGTTGCGCGAAATAAAAAAACATTTTAAACAGGAGTGAGAATAACTGAATATTCTTTAGATATCCCCGCGTTGGTATACAATTATAGGTAGGTTTCACGTGAAACGGGTGAGTCGGTTCGAGTTTTATTGGTAGCTAAATTCGTGGAACGCAATCCATTCGAAAATATTGTTTAAAAGGGTATAAAAAATATAATAGACCAGATGTGGTAGTGTCCATTTGTTATGTGTATGGTAATAATTATAATAGGTATTATTAAATATAATATATTTGTAGTAAAGCTCTACAAATATATTATATTTTATATAATAATCGCAATTCAAAAATTATTTACATACGAGTAGTTACAATAGACAAACCAATTTTTTTTAAATGTAGAGAATGCTTTAGAATCGATTTTTATTTTAGCAATTCGCTTATCATAGAGCTAAACAAAAGATCTGCGGAACAATGCTATTATAATCTCATTTGAAACGGCTTAGTCGGTTCATGTTTTATTGGTAGCTGATTTCTTGGAACGTAATTAACCAGTGAAGATAAAAAATGGGTGTTACATTAAGAAATATAACACTGAAAAGGTTTATCCAAAAATGAGTTAGAAGCTTATACTTAAAAACCATCAGACCTAATTCTGTAATCTTAAAAGATTAAGACCTAAGCCAGCCTACAAATGAGGTTTTATCTTTCTCCTGTACCTTTAAAAGTCACTGTTTGAGCTTTTAAATTAATTTATAAAGAATTATAAATTAATTTAAAAGCTCAAACTGGGTGACTGTGACTAGTATTCACATAATTTCATCAAAGAGACATTTTTATTTATAATAGATAAATAAAAGTTTAATAGTCTATGACTTATTTTCGATTATCTGGAACCGACCCGGCAAACTTCGTACCGCCTAACAGACAATGAATGTCCTGTTATAGATTAACTGAATTTAATTTTTGATTTTATCACGCCGTTTCTGTCAGAAACACAACAAATTTATTATAAGAATGACAGAATTATCTGGAATGATTCAGTAAGACCAATCGATTTGACGTTTTTTTTAAACTAAGTCATTCGTTCATTTGTCTTTGAGTACTTAGATTCATATGTTTTCCTTAGTTTACACAAAATAAATTTATTTATATATTATTTGTACACATAAATATTTGACGACCAATATATATCTCAATACTTTTTCATTACTGACTTTTTTTACAATTAAAACGCCATTATCCGAATATTGTGGATATACCTATCTTGTCGATTCGAAACCATTATTTAAATAGGTTCTTAATTTGAGGGAAAAGTTAAACCGTATTGACAGGATGAAAATTGAATTTTTGACAGTTACAAAGCCCATGAACATGTTGTATTGGATTTTTTTTGTTTTTTATATATTGTACTTTGCTTAATATATTAAGATGTCTCGATTCTTGACTGAATTATTAGCACTGTCAGAACTATATTCGTATTTTTTGTGTTTAATGACTTGTTTTTATATAGATACGAGTATAACAGTATGGCCAATGGGAAATTAATTAATTCTTAAATAAAGATTAATGAAATCAGTAATAATATGTATAATAATTGTTGTATACCTAATTCGGTAACTCATTAGCAAAAATTTAAAAGAATAGAATGTTCTAATACGATAGAATACGAAGGTAGAAATCAAACATGCATGCAGCAGTATTGTAACCCATGTTCCCAGAATCCGCCTCAAATAATTGAAAACCATACTAGATCCTTCAGGCTTCAACCGTGTTAGTCCATGTTATCTCTTCATAATGCGTAATTAAAAAAAAATTATAAATGTTGACGATGCGTTATTAGTTTCCGAGAAAGATATCTCTTTAGTATTTTATTATATTTAAATGCTTTAGAATTGCTCTTCATTTTAGCAATTTGGTTATCATAAAACTAAACAAAAGCTTCGCTAAAACAACGGAATTATTGGGTAAGTATAGAGATTACACGTGAACGGCTTAATGGCTTGACGGATGAACATGAAATTTCTCCACTGCTCCGGTCCGGCAAACGTTAATTACCGATCCGATTTAGAAACTCACAACAGTACTTACGTGCTTCTCCACTACTCCGGCATCCGGTTTTTAACGATCCGATAACATGCTAGATCGGAACGCAGTGTTTTATCGGTCCAAGTATATCCAAGAGGTTATAAATTATTATTCACAGGTTTATCTATAGTTTCTTTAATTTGAAAGAATCTGGATAACCTGGACCAAACCAAATTATGTTGCAATTTATTTATATTTTTATACTATAGTATTAGTGAATTATTTATTAAGTAGATTATAATATTTCAAGATAGACAATATAAAAAAAGTAATAACTAGCCAGGGCAATAAAAAAATCAGAATTTAGAACGTTTTATTTATAAAATTAAGTATATGGGTTTTAGTTAATAAGTGTTGCATGATAAATTCACAAGTATCGATTATTGTCGGATCGGATATAGTGGAGAAGCGCAATCCGGCCTTCCGATATTTTTCTCATGACTCATTCCGGTATCCGACGTCGGACCGGAGCAGTGGAGAAAGGGCCTAAGTCGAGTTTTATAATTAGCCGATTTCTTGGGACTTAAAGCACCGGTAAAGTTAAAAATTAAGACCCAAAGAAGTTATATAATAAACCTGCTTAGAGAAAGTATGAAAAACAAAACGATGTGTGTTCTAGGTTGGATTGTAATAGTTCAACAGCATCTCTACTCCAATATACGTTAACAAACGACTCAATATGTCAACGAAATCAATATTTCGTTCTCACTTAAAAACTGGTTAAATTAAATAAATACTAGTGTGTTTTTATTTTATATTAACTCTACAGCTGTGGTAATATGTCGCAAAGCTGCATACAATAATTGTGTTATCACAACATAATAATTTTTGTTTCAGTATTTAATACGCTTTTTACAATTTATAATAATAATAATTGTGAGCATTTATAATATAAAATAGTAGTAGTGAGAGTAGTAATGAAATATTTAATTACATAAATTTATACAATTTACTCTACAAACTTCTTTTATATTTTATCGTTGAATCGAAAACAAAGACACAAAGACGAAAACGTAGTGAGATTATATTGTTACATAGTAAAGAGTAGGTACATTTACTTTACTGACTTATCAATCAAATATATTTGGTTGAATTAATAACCAATGTAAAAGAATCGGTTTAGTACATCATAAATCCACATCCACAAAATAATGTAAAAAAAAATTGCCAGACATAAAATCATGGTAAAATAATTTAATGTTATTAAAATATGTATAATATTATTACATTAAAATTAGTTATACTGTGTGCGTTTTTTAGATGAAATAAAAGAATATTGAATGGAATAATAAGGTATAACGGTATCCCACCTTTTCTCCTATCTCTTTCTCTTACATTCACGTACTCGCGCGAAAAAGAGATAGAAAATGTAACAATGATCCTGCGCAAGAGGAAGGTTTCGCTAAAAGCAGGGAGTAGTCACTCGTGGTGTAGCCTTCGAACAGTAGTGTCGTTATCACCAATAAGATCGTTGATTATCGCAGTGCTCTGAAGATCCTAGAAAGGATCCAGTTAAAATGCGTCCATATTTCTTAAAAACAATAGTACAATGTGTGAGGTATGTGAAATTCCTTTCCCTCTTACTGTTTTTTCCTTTGTATGTTACAGCAGTTTGGGCTTCTTCTGTGATATATTCTTTCCAACCAATTTCTTACCGTCCGTATCCCTCTCTTTCGATTAAATTATTTTAAACTTATAATTCATAAGTACAAGATATCGTAGAAGTCCTTCCTTCATATCATAAACTGTTCAATTCACAAATTCGTTATAATTACCTCAACAAATTGTTTTGTAAAAATTTATTTAATTAACAATTATTATTTTGTACAAGTTCTCTCGCATAAACTTTGAGAAGCGCAGGTCAGCGCAGCTCTGTAGACTTAATAGACAGTGGAGTTACCAGTTACCACAGAGCACTTATTTGAGTCTACATTTTTAATGAAAGTTGGTTTCATTATAGGAATGCACTCTATGGTTGGTTTTCCGCCACATGTCCGCCATATCTCATAACTGCAACAATTTCTCTTAATATTGACGTTAATTTATTATTTCGTAATAGATAGGGTTGTTGTGAAATATTGTGTTCTTAATTTAATTAATTTTTAGTTTACTTTTAATACGGTGAGTAAATATAAACCGAATTCTATTGTAAGAGGAGTTTTAGTCCAAAATGTTTAAGCCGCGATGTGTCCCACAATGTGTCAGTTTCGTTTTAATTTGTTATTAAAGAACCTTGTACTGTATGGAAATAATTTTTGCTAAATATTAATATTGTAAGACTTGAATATTAATTATGTGTTTACGATAAGTTATAACATATAGATTATTTCTGTTCAGACCCTGGCTTCAAGAAGAAGGAATGGAGTCGCCGAGAAAATTTAACGACTGTTACTTTTATTACTATTCTACATGTACTAAGGTAAGTTTTTAGTCATTATTTAATATATTTTCTGTAGTAAGTTTAGTTTTTTTGCATTAACTACATTTCTACAAAACAAAGTAAGATAACACCATGCGTACGATTTACGAACATAAAATAGCTATAAACCACATCCAATTAATTTTTAGAACGGTTTTTCCCTTACATTCGTTTATCAGTTATTAATTTAATCCTTATTGTAATCTTATCTAGTTTTCTTTTCCTTTATGAGAGATAGTAGGTTGCATAATTTTGAACAACTAGGTATATGTAAAATACAGGCATGTTAGTAAATTAAATTGAATGTTTGGAAACAGGGTGACAACTGTGTGTTTCGCCATGAGCCATCGGCTCTTGGTTGTGAGACAATGTGCTCGGCATGGCAGCAGGGAAAATGCCTGGACAAACATTGTAAACTAAGACACATGGAACTGAGGGTAAGTTTTTGTTAAATTTAATATAACTTACAGTTTTTTTTTTCTTATTTTTTATTTTACATGGACAAGGACTGAACTCACATTCTGAATGTTATAGAAAAATCGCAAGCAAATACCATGTTACTGGGAAAACCAACCAGGTGGTTGTCGTAAGAAGCACTGCCCATTCATGCACAAGAATCCAGATGCCCGCACTGATGGCATAGCTCCAAGCCAGTCAGGCCCTATTCCTACAGTAAGTTATCTACAAATTTTCAGCACTAACTTACTACTACTAAAAACTAATTTTCACATGAATCACCACATTCTGTAGCAGTCTTTGAATACCTTTCGGCCGTAGGTATATTTCTATATTATAGTTTAGATTTCTGGAATATGAAACGAATTTGTTTTGTAGCATTTAATTTTATATTGATAGCAATCCACAAACAAATACATAAATCATTTTAAATATATATATATATATATGTATGTATAATTTTAAAGATTAATTAAGGTTTCATTTTAATTAGGCCTAATTTTAAACATTATATAATAATTTTCAGAGCCCCTCTACAAGCAGCATTCCTGAGGCAAGTGCTGAACAGGCCATCACTGGAGTACCTACTCCCAATGTGCCACCTCCATCCTCTGTACCACTTTTGTGGCCACAGCGACAGGGTAAGACATTTTCCTCGGCTGTATTTATTGAATTCTTGTTGTTTTTTATTGAAATCTATCTTTTTCTTACTAGTTTCGTTTTAGTTGATCAACTTGATTAAACATCTTTTCTGTTGACGTCCATAAGTGTACTTTGTTACCTATATGAAAAAAGTTAGTTTGAGTTTGAGTTTACAAACCAATGTGGATTTTTTCCTCTGAGTACCAATCCTAGTCACCCATTAACTGAGCTATATAATTTTTGCATGAAGAAGTGAGAACTGTAGTACCAATTAATAAAAAATAATAATAACCCAAAGTAATGTAATTGTAGTAAATAATGAGCGATATTTATTTCAATAATAGCTAAACTATTTTTTTTACATTAAACAATCTTTGATTTAATTCCTTAAAATTACATTTTCATTACATTATTGTTTTAACAATACTCTGTTTATTGTGATGGAGAAATAATTATTAAGGTTTAAAGTGTATAATATTATTATGATACAGAGTAAAGTAATTAAGTAATTAATATTGTCAACTAATCATTATTAGTTAATGAGTGGTATTTTGCATTTTATCAATGTGTTTTTAAAACTGATTATGTAAGGAATATAGTAGTATTATCATACTTTTGCAGCCAAATTCAATTAAGTCATTGCAGCCCCAAATTTTTTAAATTATTCATATAATTTTATCACCGTAGGTCATTTGTAAAAAATAGTAACAGTAAGTTTCTTTCTCCTCAGTGCTGGACTCTGCCATCTTGGGCGTGCTTCCAGCGTCTCCCGAACTGATGGGTGGGCGACGAGTAGTGTCCCACGGCCACCCTCACGCCCACGCCCACGCTCACGCCCACGCCCATGCAGTGGCCCACGCCCCACACGAAGCCTACGCCCCGTTACCCGTCGACCCACTTGTCGTTAACTTCGAGGAAGGTATGCGGCTCTATTGAAATCCCTGAGACTTGGACAATTTGCGATTCACACATTTTTATTTTCGCCATTGAAATGCTTAATGCATTCGTTTTAGTTTAGTTGGATTATGGAATTACCTAAGGCTTTCGTCCGTGCAGCCTCTTTGCTATGAGTTTGAAACAGTTTATGAATCACATAGCTTTCATTATATGACTTTGTGAGGTAAAATATTGTCTTGAAGTTTAATATACCGACGTAAGATGAGTAATCCAAAAGAGTAATAGGTGTGGAATTAAATGATTTTATTAGAGACAGCAAAGTAGAGATATTAACAAGCCATTTAAAAAGGTAACATTTTGAGATATAAAAAATCATCTCTAATCCCAATCTTAATTCCTTAATTTTTTATTATTAATGGTCTTTAATATAACACCTATTTTTTCATAGTTTTCATAACATACGTTAATCATAGAAACTTAGCTATTCCATTAATTCCAACTAAACCTTTTACATGGCATAATAATTGTCAAAGATTTAGCATTATTTAAGCCTTAAAGCAAATTGTCCAAGACTTGACGTGAGGAGTTGGGTATAATTTACATTTTATATTAATTTGCGCTTATCGATGCGTGCGTTATCGATAGTCAAGTTAATCAAATTTCATATAAAATAATTTAAACTTTCATGTGACTTATAACAGTTACCCAAACTGACTATTATTAGACGCCGTTAAGTTAGGCGGTTAAAAAATGGGTTAAGCTAATGTAAAATTCGCTCACTAATATATAAATTGTGGCGAAGGTAACGAATAGAATTAACGCTTGGAATGTCAAAATAGTCACGATTTTACGCCAAGTATTTAGAGTTCATTTATTTAAACGTTTTATTTACAATTTTATAGATTTATAAACGTGTGCAAAGATATATAATATATCTACAAAGTAATATATGACAAGGTTTAATTTTTAAAGTAAATTAAAGCGTTTACCAATTTAGTGTTTTCACATGTTCTAAAGACAGGTTTATTTTTAAAATGCGACACTTATTCGCCGCTATTAAGAGCAATTCATTGTTTAGAATTTGGCATAATATACGTAACTTTAACTAGAGGTAACAGTTTTCTTGAGTTTGGGCTAAGAAGTAATTGGAGTTTTCAGTTATTCTACTATCGGATCTGATTCTTAATAAATATCCAGACTTCGATTATAAATGAAATCCAAATATGTAGGCTCATTTTAAAGTTGACTTTATTGAGCCAACAGTGGCAGTTGTTTGTTTTAAATCGATTTGTTCATCTACCTTATTTATTAAGCGCAGCGGCGAGCGTTTGTTGCTAGATTTTATTTAAATTTTCCTTTAATATTAAACTATTTAAATTATATTAGCTCTCTCGAGTCCGACCGATTATAAAATTAATTAGCTAGGTCGGTATTTTTGTATGTGCAATAATTTAGAGAGTGTATTATCGTTCATATCTTAGCTAATTATATCTATTAGAGGAATATATTAACTCGCTTTTTTTCTAGTTTTTAATGTAACACGCATATATTTCAAATGTATTTATGTGTGGGTTCATTTGAAATGTATTACCATCTTAGACGTCGATGTAATCTTTGTCTAATAAAGTACATAGTATGGAAATAAAAATATATATACACGATACTATAACTCATTAATATAGGTGAAATGAAAAATGAAAAAAAAATGCTTGATGCGTTTAATGTAGAGGAGTTAAGGGTCGCGTCTTATAAAAGTTTATATTTCGCACTGAGCGTTTATAAGTAGTTAGGCGGATAGAGGTCACAGCGCTGCATTGCAGTGCAATATATTCTAAGTCCGATCGGACTACTTCGTGAATTGATGTTTGTAATACTGTGACTACTATTACGAAATTAAATTTGTGCTTAAGAAATTGTATTACCGAGTATAGGATAGATTAGCATTGGGCGCTCGCTCGGCAGCCGTTCTAAAAGCACCTTAGTCTGATTAGCTAATTAATTGTTTCAATATATGTTTTGTTTTGCACTGACAGAAAAGTTCCTATATCAGTTCGAAACAGAATGGTTGTAACAAATGGAAAAAAATCGTTAGGGTCCACGGTACGCCTAGTCATTTTATTTATCTAATTATTTTAAACATATTTAATGGGAATAAAAATAGTTTTAAACGGTGGAGGTTAGAATTAGGAGTGATTAAAAAAAATAGGATTCAAATTGTGTCTTTTGAGGTTGTAATATTTGTTTTTTAGTTTAGGATTGTTTCTTGTTTAGAAGCCTAAGGATAAAATTATTTCGCAAGTGTTAGGTCTTTAATATATTTTAAGTCAACCGGATTATTTTATAAAAAGGTCTAAATAAGAACCTTTCCTAAGTAAAGAGAATAATTTGAGTACAAAATGAAAAAATATTATTAATGCGACAGCTGAAATTTTATTTCGCTTGTACCTGTTTAGTTTTATGTCATACAGGTATTTTGTTTTAAAATTACGAAAACAGTGACTAATGTCAAGAGTAATATAGGATTTTATTCATCGCCAGTTTTATGTACCCACGTACATTTTTTGTTTTATTTTGATTTTATTAGGCGTTCTTTATCGGAAATTCGAAGGGTAAGACTGCTTTTTACTATAGAAAATTTAATTTCGATACTTTTAAATTGTGTATCGACTTTACTCAAATACTAAAGGAAAGTTTTCATTTTTATTGTATCATAGATTTAAGATTTTGTAACGAAATTCGTTAAGAGTTTTTAAAATGTACTTTACGCAAACGTATTATTATGTATTATTGCAGTCAATATTATTGATATGTTTGCACGGTGAAGGCTCGGATAGTGTTTCAGAGAGTCTGCTTCATTTGTTTGTAAAATATCTTGGTAAAGTTGTTTTGCGACACTAACGATATACAGACTCCAGTACTCGATTACGCCTTGTTCACCTAGTACAAGTTGATTCTTAGAAGGTTTTCTTTTGTTATACTAATTGGGCAACTAGGGCACTTAGCTTCCAACACCGCCTAGGGGCTCCAAGTTTATTGTTTAATTCTTATGGAATCGTTGTTATTTTAATGTTAGCGTTACAATTGTAAGAGTTTCTCTAATTTTAGTAAGGCGTGTAAGCACTTTGATTTAACTAACAAATATCCGAGGATGTACTCTGGCTTTGTTTTACTGATATTGTGTTATTTATCAACGAGCAAATAAATACGTTTCGTATTATGGTTTTTGTAATTATTTTTGACCGTCCACCCCTAAGTCCGTTTCAGATGCGAACAGGAACACACCAAGTTAGCGCGGTCGTTTCAAATTTAATTACTAAAATCATTTTACGCTTTAAGAGCGTCTTCTCACGATCACTTGGTGTGTTCTTACAGAATCAGACAACGAGAGTGCGCCCTCCTCCACTCCGACTAAGGCCGACGTCCCGGAAGCAGACGACCCTGCCAAAATAGCCAGGACTAAGTCGCAAGAGCTCTTGCTCCTCGAAAAGATCCAAGCCGAATCCGCAGCTTACTACAATTACGACGCCATAGACATTACAAAGGAGCGTAAAAAAGTTCGAGCCAATTTGTCTACCAAATACGATAAAATCTCCCTCGATGAAATCGCAGGTAAACAAACCGCCGGCGACATGCGAACCTCCCTAGACTTCAAAGTTTTGTCACTAGACGAAATAAGAGCAAAGAAAAAAGTGTCAGACACAGTCATACAACCGACACCAATCACGCTCACATTAAATAGGAAGAGGAAACTCTCTTCTCACGAAGCAATTACCACGGCGGGTAATAAAATCATCAAATTAGTTAGGAACAATTCCATAGTTTATAAGAAACTGGATAAAAGTGCACCAACACAGCCAAGTCAGACCCAGAAATCCGAAGTTAAAAAAGCGGAAGTGGTCAGCCGAAAAAGGACATTATCAGAACAGAGCGATATGTCTGTGATGCAAGCGGATGAATTGGTAGATAATTGTTATGAATTTAAAAGAATTAAGATCGCCGAACAGACTTCTAAGCCACGACTCATTAGAAGTAGAAGTTCTAATAAATCTACTAGTGAAAGCAAAGATGTTGATGAGTCCAGCAAATGTGAAGACTCTGATACGGATGTCCAAATTATAAGTGTTGATTTATCCGACGATAAAACATGTGATAGCGACATAATAGACGTTGAATCGACGAATATTCGTGAACCCGTTGATGTGGTAGACTTGTGCGATGAACCCGAAGATAATGAAATAACTGTTGCGGACTTAGAATTAGACTTAGTTAAAAATGTACCAGATGTGGTCGCCAGTTGCCGGAAAAGTGTGAATAAAGAAAACGATAAAGACATTTTAAATGATATCGACGCAATACTCAACGAAAACTTATGATGTATATCATATATGATAGTAATATTTAGGTTATATTGTTGACTGAATTTCAAATGAGAATTATTAGATTATATACGCTTACTTTAAGTTCATATAATGATAGCAATTTCACACTATTGTGTATAAACCAAAAATAATAGGTATATTATTTTAGGTTATATTGATTCTTCAAGATCAATTGTTGTTTTTTTATTTTTTTTTAAAGCAAACAATTACCTCGATATTTTTTGGAAATGTGTTTATGGTAATAAATATAATATAAGACATGGCCAATATTTAATTTAGAATTTGTCGTCCACAGTCAGTAGGCATCCAACCTATATTTTCAAATCGATCTTCATGTGGACTACGCTATTCCTCAGCATTTAATGCTATTTTTGCATCTAATGAGATAACGAAAGACTTACAAAATAGAAAATAGTAAACGAAACTACTGAATATTCAACAAACTATTATTGATACCTCAATTTGTAAAAAAGATACAACAAAAAAAAAAGATACAACGTTACAATTATATAATTAATTGCACTCAAATGGACTGGATCATCTATAATTTACTATTATCACATAAACATTAAACTTGTATTAATTGTATTATGATTTGCGAAGGATCAATAAAAAAACGAACGTCATCCAAAAATGTAATATAATGCAATTAATAAAACGTTTTATCGACATCACACAATTATTCACAATATCGTAAGTATCTATAAGTTTACAATTAATAAATTCGAAATTAATTACCTAAATAATTGATATTTGTACATTATCTTACTTTTAATGGACTGATTACTACTTGTGGCGAGATGAAGCTTAAAATAATGCTAATTTGATGTATCTTCAAAATGGTAAGTTTAATACTAAGTACAGACATTTTAGTCTGTTTCACTCTTGGAATATATAAAAAAGGTTAATGTAGACAAGCGTAACAAAGCCATGGCACGGTCAAATAATCAAGTCATAGATTGATTAATAGTGTGAAATGAAGTCAAATTAGCTACACCGGTTAAACTTACTTTTATGTATTACAAGGTTTCACTGATCTTTTCTTGCGAAACAAATATATATACATATGTATATAAAAATAAACTCGGACCTACGGTATATAGAAAACGCCTACTTGGACCATGGGGGGTTTATTCTACTACTGTCAAATCTAGGCTATCTTCGAATACAGCTACTTTATGTAAGTATATTTTGATTAAAATAATACACATTATCTACACCTAATCAAATGTTGGTACAACAGAGATTCGCAACATTCGAAGATAGACGTCTATGGCGGCGTAGATGTGAGGTTCTAAGCAAGCCAATTAGCTCAGAAAAATAGGGAAAGCATTTAATTTTAACACAGGTATTTTAATTATATACATTGACGATTTATTTTAAAAAGCTGACCATGTAAGGTATGCTACGATGTTAAAGTAAATACAGACACAGAATACAAGTACAGAATATCGATGTAAAATAAGTGACAAAGTTACAACTTTGGAGAATACATATATATAAGTTAGAAAAATAAGAATTGGCTAAAACAAGTAATATTGAAACTAAAACTCAAGATGAGATGAGTGACATTCGGAAACTTAGCGCATGACTCCCGTTTATCAAAATCGAAAACATTTTGTCTAGTCTCGTTTCTCGATCTTACCCTTAGTCACCCATGTCTGATGTGGTCTCAAGATAAAAGATACAGTCGTGCTTGGACTTATCTCTGAATCTAAGAGCCAAATAAAATCGCCTACACGGTTAATAGGCCTAATCTATACGTACACTTGCGTTTCCCTTAAAATAAATCACTGACAAATATTGTTCACCTTACAGGCTTTGAGGTCAAAAATAAATTATTTAAAAATTACTGACACCTATTAAATGTAGACTAATTAGAATAATTTACATAAATACAGTTTGAGCCTTTATTTGTGCTCTTTGTTGTTTCGTGCTACTGGATATGTAAATTCTTTATTCTATGGAATACAGGGGCGTACTCAAATGTGAAGCCACCGAGGCCCCAACTACGTAAAATAAAATGTGTGCGCTTATTATCGATTTGTGACAGATATTTGGTATATAGATTAATTACACCTTGATGCGTATCTGGAGTTTCATCTGAAATAACAATTATAGTTAAACTAAATTGAAACCGACAATCTACAGTTTATATAATTATATCCAAATAAAGAATTTAGTTTATACAGATCTTATTCTATATTTATAAAATTACATCGCATAAACATACACAACGAATATTAAGCCATATTTTTACAAGCGCTGTTGGTAACAATAGTAATTACAAGGATTTCGATTTTTTTAATCATGTTGAAAACTCGAGACATAAGTCAAGATAACATTTATTCATACTGTTTTTTTTCTGTTCTATATTAATTGATAAATAGCGTTGTTGAGACTATTAAATTAAATGTTATTGGTAGTTGAAATGGTAAAAATCGCTTCAAATATCTTGCTTCAGTCAGGCACAAAATCAGGAGCCCGGATCGTCTCCATTTCAGAATCAGGAAACAACATCATAAAGTTTTATGACATCCTTGAAACAGCTAATGATTTATTACTTCATAATTTGTGGAATAATTAGTCTTATAAACGATTAGGGTCATTCCCTGAATCAGTGCCTGAATGTTTTATTTGTTGGATGTATGTCTAGTTCCACCAGGGTCACTGCAGACGCGACCAGTACTGTTGGGAGTCTTGACCTGGCACCGCCAATGGAACCGAAACTCCTGCACCTAAAAGACCGCCCAATTCTATAAAATAACAAAAACCAGTTAATTTAACTTTTATAAGGTTTTCATTTTTAAACTAAAAATATATCATATCTATGAACATATCGATGCATCAGAATATAATGTGACTTCTCCCCTAAATGCGCAGTTCGTCTGGTGCTATAAATAGTCCCCTTTACCCCGTCCGTCACTCGTCCGCAATATATGTATATTTAAAACCAAGGTAAAATGGCTTACATGTATAAATACATTAATTTTTTGGAAAACCACTTGTAAAGATGTAAATCTAACCTTATAAATAATTATAATTGTATAGTTACACCAAGGATAAAGAAGTTTTATAAGCATTAAATTACCTGGTGGGGGAGACGCTGGTTCATGCTGGTAACCATGGTTCATATACGGATGCGGCTGTCGGTAGCCAAGCTCATAACGGGGATAACCTAGGAATCCGCTCTTGCATAGATCAGCTTCGCTTCCCTCACAGACCGACGCGTCTGACACCATTCCACTACTTGCGCCGTATCCCATTGGAGTCAGTGGGCTGTAGATAGTCATAAAACATGTTAAGTAGTCAAAGGATGTTATCGAAGATATACACTTTACACAACAAGTATAGAGAACATTAACCACATGTTAGTAGTAAGTAAGTAAAGTACTATGGAAAGCAAAAACATACCTGTAAGTGTCAACGTTGACCTGCGGTTGATAAGGCGTGTGATGCGTGTGATGGTGTGGCGCGGGAGCAGGCAGTGGTGGGGCGGGAGGAGCGGGGATCTGCGGGGCCCCGTAGCACTCGGGGCTCCGACGTTGGCTGCGGATCTTCTCCTCGCGACGCCACTTCGCGCGACGATTCGAGAACCACACCTTAATGTCGGGTTAGGTTAACAAAACGCGGGACGCGGACTTGATTTCGACTTTGTTGATTAGTAACATAGATTAGATTTTGCCTGAATGTTTCGATAAATATAAAATTTTGTGATATTTTTTCGACTAGATCCGGCTGCCTATTCTAATGGGTGTTAGTGAAATAATAAATAAATAAGCCAAAATGGATAATCAAGCCGCTTAAAAAAGTAAACATTGTAGTATGTTATGTTTAGAAACGTAAGTCAGCCGTACTACTAGCCGTCTACATTAAACTCTTTAGGGCCGTTTTCTCGAAATCGGAGATATTTATTAAAAAAATGATGGGCAAAATTATAGCAAGATACATAGATAAAAGGTGGACTTTAATGACAACTATATGGAAAAGACTAAGGAAAGAAGAAGAAGAGGGCGCCCCAAAAAAAGGTTGATAGAAGAAATAGAAGCGGTAGCAGGAAGAGAAAGGAGAAAGATAGCCATAGATAGAGTCAGTGGAGCTGCTGAAAAAGCTGGAGGCCTTTACCCGCGTTGGGGTTTCGATCGACGGTAATGAAGGTAGCTAGGATATATAGGATAACAAGATAAAATAACGTATAAAATGTAACAAAAAATTTAATTATTAAATATTATTATTTTATTGTCATGATTGGGAGTTAAACGGGATTTTTATTATTATTATATTTAAAAATTACTAAGTTTATTGCAGACGGCAATCAAATATTACAAAGAATATAAAATATAAATTGTCCTTATTAGCATCTTACCTGTATTCTAGCTTCAGGAAGACCAATTTTCGCCGCAAGTCTCTCTCGGGCGAAAACATCAGGGTAGTGTGTTCTTTCGAATTCTTTAAAGAAAATTAAACGAATTAGATCAGTTTTGCCATATTTATTTAGTTCACTAATGCCGTAGTGTTTGAACAACGAAGTTGATTCAATTTGTGATGAGAGATAGCATTATGCTATAACTTAGAGCCTGTCCAAGTCAGTCCAATAACACAATTGTAACAAACACTTCATCGTCTTCAACGTCTCTTTTCATGAGACGTTAGTACAATTTGATGGAAATAGACAAAAGTCTATTTCGCAACTAACTGTAAAGGTGCTGATAAACTTGAGCATTCACTTGTAATGAGCATTTGTGCGAATGTTACATTCCAGAAAAATACGAGAACATTTTAGCGAGCGTTCTAGCGAGCACTGCTTCGAGTTTTATGCCGAGCCTAGCTTCGGTCTTCGTCTTCTAACACTTATAAGACGAAACAGATTAGTTTGCCACCATCTTCTATTTTACTTTTTTTTTACATAACCAATGAGTATTACTGAGCACAGGCGACCGTCAAGTCTGACATCTTCGTAAAGAATAGGTATATTTTGACGAGCATCGACTAGAGCGTTCACTAGAATGCTCATGAAAATGTTCATAGCAATTTTTGGCTCTATGCTTGGCTCGGCTCGTTGTTCAGTTCGACAAATATAAAAACGGCAAATGCTCGATGTTCTGTTACAAATTAATGCTCAAGTCAATCAGCACCGTTAGACAGAAAACCACAAAATGATTAATATGCTTGTGTATGAATAATTGATTGTCCGGGTCTAAGGCTTGCTGGTTTTCTCACCACATTTCCTTCAAGTCAAGTGAATAAAACATTTTACAATACCTCTCTCCAAGCTATCAATCTGTTCGTTTGTGAAGCTTGTGCGGTTCCGCTGTAACTTGCGCTTGAGACGAAGCCTGGCTGCATCATCGTCTGCTCCGCTTGAGCCTGCGTTGGAATTATCCCCAGACCCGGTCTCATCGGAGTTGAGTCCTTCAATACCCTCCAGTGTTTCTTCACCTGAATTACAAGTATAATGTAATTGCTTTTCTTGTGAAATTTTACAAAGATTTAACAAAACACTAAATTTCAGAACAAAATTTCCGATATATGAAAAATTAATTTATTTACTATTGCTTTATGTTACAAATAAGTCAAAACCTAAACGAAAATCGTAAAATTTGTATATATATATAATATTTATTTACTGCGTATATGAATGTGGCTCTAGTAAATGATTTTTGTATAGGTATGATTACAAAGTTTATGCCAACCGTTACAAACACGCGATGTAAATTAAAAGTTAGTACAGATATTCAAAGGGAATTTTCGTTGAAATTTTGGAAATGAATTGGAATATATGACAAAGTAAAGCTATAAATCTAATTCATAGTATTTGATAAGAGTACGTTATCACATGTTTCAACAACCTGGAACACTCGTAAATCGTAACTTGCTCTCAAAACTTTGTTACTCTTGATTTATTCATATTATCTATGGTTCTTAATATCTATGGCGTAGTGATTAACGTATACGGTGTAATCCGTAGATATACCATTTTGGTGTAACCGTATTGCTTCGGGTTACAGCGCAGTCTCTTAAATTATTTTCTAATGTGCTATCAAGAGTGTCTAAGTACTATATGCGATGTTGAGGACTACAGGTGTTTAAAACAAGCATATCATCAAATCAAATCAAATCAAAATACGTTTATTCAATTTAGATGCTTCTTAGAGCATGCTTATGAATGTCAACAACGTTTACAAAATTCACGAAAGAGCAAGACTACGCCATCCGTTCGCAAAACTACCAGGAGGCCTTGTTCTGAGAAGAACGGGCAAGAAACTCAACAAGTTTGCCCTCCCTTTACATTACAATTATTCAAAGGAAAATGTCATAAACCACAACGTCATTAAAATTACATAAGTAAAAAAAAATAAAAAATCTGTTCTGTGATTTACCACATTCACCATTACACACATATTCATAACACTTCAAAGATAACAAATCAAATTATAAGAATATAATTAGAACTATTGCCAAGCGTTTTTATCTTTCAGGTAGTCATTGACTGTGTAGTAACCTTTACACATTAAGGTTTTTTTGATGTGTGTTTCGAATCTGTTTAAAGGCAGTTCCAATATTTCACTAGGAATCATGTTATAGCAGCGTATACTTAGGCCCATAAATGAAGTATTTATTTTCTGCAACCTGTAAGACGGCTGGAAAAGTTTTCCCTTATTTCTTGTATTCCTATTGTGAATGTCGCTGTTCTTTAAAAGAGAACTAATATTACTACGCACAAAAACGATACAGTTGTAAATATATTGGGAAGGTACCGTCAAAATATCGATTTCCTTGAACAAATTTCTAAGTGAAGTGCCTGGTTTCAAGCAATAAATTGACCTAATAGCACGTTTTTGCAAGATAAAAAATCAATCATCAATATTTACTGTATACATAGTATTAAATGTTTAGTCAATATCACTGTGAAGTGCATATGAACTGTGGCAGATAAATAGGTCGTAAAATAAGACTTATAATTATTTAACATGTTTAGCTTGGTTGAATTTGCTGACCGCCCCACAAAAGTAAATGAATTTTAATAAAACAGCAAGAGTAACTAAAACCTAGTTTCTGTAGTACATACAATTTCAGATGAGACTTTTGAATAATATTTAGTACGTATACACTCTGTAAATTATTTGAAATATAGATAAATAGACTGGGGCTTGTTTAAATAGATTTAACGGTGATTTGCGTGTCTATTGCGGTATACTAATCCGAGATCGGGCCCGCGGCGCTATGTAAGCCGGCGAGTAGGTATATTTCAGAGCTTTGATCCTTTAATTTAATCTATTAAAAGATATTATAAGAAAGTGGTAACTAATTTAAATAAAATATTTAAATGGTATTCCTCGTAATGAATTTTGGCTACAAACTTTATAAGATTTTTTTTCGTATGTAAAAATCAACATTTCGGCAAATAAACCTATACGTATTTGAAATACTGATGTAATTTTAATATTATAATTCTATCGCTATTAAGATATAGTAAAAAAAAAATATATATAAATTTGAGGTGCGTTGCCAAAGTAATTAATTTTAAATAAAATAGATTAATTTTAAACTAACATAAATTGTGTTAGTTACATTTATTGACGGAATGCACGTGACCGTCACTATATTAAATAATTTTTATTAAGTATATTAACTATTTTAAACATATCCATAAAATATAAAAAGTCACATTTCAAAATAAAACCCATGTCTGCAAGTTATTATCGCGTTATCTCCAGTTAAAATAGTAAATTACATTCAAGTGTCAAGATTCTTCGGTATCTGGTACTGCGGGGACCGAGACACCCGTGGGGTGTTTGGGGGTTCCAGGGAGATCCAGGGGGGCAGGGGAGTGGTTGTAACTCGCGCGTTCATGCGGAAAGACACGATAACAGCCCAGCCTACCACGTAACCCTGCCTGCGATAGCGTTATCAACTTAAAAATGTATGGCCAATAATGGAGTGGCATTTTGAAGGTGATTTTGTTTTAAAGACTTTAAAGATTGGTAAAACACCTTATGTGTATTCTACCTTAGTACATTATTAGGATTCTGAATTCTATCACTTCTATGAAGGGATACTATTTATATGCCAAAGAGTAAAGGGTTTATTATATAGAATATAATCATCGGTCATTTATATAAACACTGCGACAGTCAATTGAGAGTGACAATTTTAAGGAAATATTATTTTATGCTGAAACATATTATACTTTATATTATCGTAATTAATTACCTCTTAAATTCCAATAATAAATCGGCTGTTTTAAGTAAATTAATACGATTTGATTAAATCACGTTTGCTTCTCCTATTCAAGGCGTATTTTCTTTATAAGATAGATTAATGAAAATTGCATCATCTTGTAAGTAGTCACAGTTTTTATGATACAAAATTGTACAAACACAAGCTGACACATTTTCGTAATTATAAGCCCACCCACTTCACTTCGCAAACGAATATGACACCTCGAAACATGATCTCATATCTTCAAAACACGCCGTTACGGTTACACCGTCGGTCCATCGTCATACGGGTGACTTTACCCTGGCGTGTTCGCGGACAGAAAATGACATTCGGTGTATCGGGAGCCCATCTGTCACGCGGGAAAACATTAATGTTTCATGAAGGCACACTGTACGAAGATCGCTATCAGATAATAGATGTGTCTCTATTTAACGTCACTTTGATTTAGACAGGGAATATACCATGGAAAGAGATGTCATCGTCGTACTTTACAGTACTAAGGTAATTTAAAAAGTAAAAACTCTAAAGAAAGTTTTACACTACCTCGTTACTAACCACAGACTGGTGAACTCACTGATCTATGCCATAGATAAGAAAGCGACTAAGCTGTAACTTCGTAATAATATGTATCTTCGTAATAATATAAAAACAATAAGAACATTAGTTCAAACTATTTCTAAATTCTTGTCCGTGAAACTATAAATCTAAAATGTCTTTGATAATACATTTTGACGTTATTTTTTATTCAAAAGTACCAAGGTGCCATAAATGAGTCACGTTTAAGTGATATTTCAAGCTTATCAAAAAGGGAATATGAATTTTTCTAGTTAGCACTCGAGTCACGCGTCGGCCATTTTGCAGGAAAACGGTGGAAAGGCCCGCAGGTAACCGATACGACTGTGCGAGGGGAAAATATCATTTACATTTAATAGTTATACATAAGTATTCCCCTGGCTATTATAAGTGTTGTTTTCCTACTTAATTACAATATATTTGTTGTAATTAACGCGTCTTATGACGTAAAAGTAGATAAAAGCTTGGCAATGTTATGGTATTACGCTTAAGCGTATAAAATCGTTATTTTTTAATTTTGCACTACTATGTTAAGAATAAAACATTCAATAGATATTTGAGAGACATGCATAAGACGTTCACGGGTAGCTACTTAGATTAGCAATTTAATTGATTTATCCGCAATCTAGAAAGATTTAGCTTGACTAAATCGTTAAAAATCGTACATTATTTTCTAAGAGTTAATTGCAGTCATAAACCCTAAATAGACCCAAACCTGTTTAATCAAAACACAGTAACTGTAGAATAGTTAAATCGAACTTTTACTGTAGAAATGACTGTGGATCGAGTCTGCTATTTGATTCTAGAACGCAATGTAATTTTCCAACACTTCATTGAAATAGTTTTCATACAAAAGTTAGTTGCAATAAAATGAGTTTGTGCTGCCGCATTATTCAATGTAAAAGTTATCGTAGGCTGTTATGCAGTTAGCACTTATTCTGCCATACTTAGTATTTATCTTTTAAAAAACTCAGACGATAGGCCTTTTAGGGCCGTGATTAAAAAGACTTGTTACCTCGTTCTTAATTTTTTAAGTGCGTTTATTCAATTTAGATTATTGCTTATCACGATCACGAATAGAACATGATACAAGAGTTAAGTCTGTTAAGTCTACCCCCATGTACTAAGGCCCAGGAAAAAGCTAAATCTTCACAGCAAAATGGTGAAACATTTCCTTTGTTCTTCACAGAAGACAAACTGTCTTTTTTCTGTCTTGGTTTCAAGACCTGCCGTGCGATTCTGTTAATCCGTGAGTTCACCTCACTATAACAACGCTCCCTTCGTCACTCACGTCATTTTTGGAATCTCATGGTATTCTGTTAAGCAATGTCACATTACGTCTTGACAAGCGGAGGGAGCTTGTAGTTTATTGTTTATCAGAATGCCAAATCGTAAAATGACTATGGAATGGCGCGACCGCCGCTGCGAAAACCGCTGTGAGAGTTCGAAAAGTGAGTTACAGAATCGCAAGGCTGATCTGAGGTACGTGTCGTGTACCTACGGGACTTAATCTAGTACGTTGATATCCAACTGATAATCAGATAATATTTACATATAATTCCTAAGAAATGCGAAATATACTAGCTAATACAACCCAGCACATCCTGGAAGTTTTTTTAATAGCGTAGGATTTAACATCGTGT